GCCGCAGTTTATAAAGTACAGTAAGATACCCAGTCTCTGTCTTCAGTGTTATAGTTTAATGGGTGAGACATCATTAAATTAAATAACTTTTCACAAGTGGTAATAGAGCAATGAATTCTTGACTACTTAGTTCTGGGAATTGGGAGCAATGAGGAAGGGAAGGTTTAAGAGAGGCTTCAGAAAGGAAGTAACACTCTAGCCAGAGTCGTCCTATTAACTCACCAGAAAGGGTAAAACCTGTGGAACTGAGGGGTGGAAGGTTGCTGGTGGTGGTAGTGGTGGCCGTGGTGATAAATCTATGGCTGAAGTGTCATACTCTTTGTGAGAGAGTGTTATAAAAAGAAGCTGGGAAATTAGACAGGCAGCTTTCAAAATATGTTAAAATTAAAGGATGTGGTAATTTATCTAGGACGTGATAGACCCATTGGAGAATTTTCAGGTGTGGGATTTAAAATGACCAGACTTGCTTTATAGAATAGAAACTCTAGAGTGGAGTTATATGAGTTTATTATGTGATTTTTCTCAAGACTTTTAAGGGTAGCTGAAAATGTCTTTCTTAAAAGTTTTTTTTCCTTTCCTTATTTAAAAAAGCCACACATAATGAAGGGTGTGAATAGTACTTATAAGTTTATGTAAATATACCATTTAGCTATATTTTTGCTCACTTAGGACAATGATTTCTAAGTATTTTCTTGCTTTAGTATAATTATGTGTAACTTAATAAATAAATAATTTTTATTAGTGTTTGGTTCAGTGCTGTTCTCATACAACTGTCACATAGCACTATACTTAAAAATAACGTTCCTTAGTACATTATGACGTGTTTCTCAATTTCATAGAGACAACATCACTACAAATAATGGAAATGGTGGTCAGGAAATTAAAATGACATTATATGTGTAAGTACTTTCCATTTCATATAGTTAAATAAACCTTGGTGGTGCTGTTTGCTCCAAGCGCTGAGAGACTAAATTTTATGTGGTATTAAAAGAATGAAACCATTTTCTTTTGTTTAGCCCAGCATTCAGATGTTATTCTAAAATTAACTTATTTAACATATAAGAATTAAGTATGCTCTGGTAATACAGGGCATTACACTTTTTAATCTGACAATCTTGTACTCATAGAGTTTAAAGTTTAGTAGAGGAAGTAACATGCATTCTGTTTATGTATTTTGTCATGCAGTTCAGTCACTATATTCCTTCTTGAACATACTTTACACCAGGGGCTCGTAAGCACAGATTCCAGACAGCAGCAGCAGCAGCATCACCTGGGAACTCATTAAATACAAATTCTGAGGGTGGGTCCCTGCATTTCTCATCTAACAAGCCCTCCAGGTGATTGTGAAGCATGTTCAAAATTGACAGTATGAATGAAGCATGCTTTATAATATGCAACACTCCCAGGAAAACAAATTGCCTAGAATATGTGATGCCTTTTGATCTCTGATCTAGGAAAGGCTTTATTTAAAGAAAGAAAGAAAATTGTAGTAGCAAATAATATTTAAAGAGTTTCAGAAATATTCTATAGTAATTGTTAACAATTATTGAGCCCATTTTTTTCATGCCAGACTCTTTGCTGAGAGTAGTTATTATTCTCAGATCACAGAGGAGGAGACACAGGTTAAATATATTCAGTGTCTTACAGCTAGAGAGTTTCAGATCAAGAATTTTAATTCAACCAACTAACTATAAAGCTGATTTTTTTGTTAGGAAATAAGTTCCTATTTGAAGATATCTTTTTAATATAGTTGGGTAGGATTTTTTATGTCAATTTTTTAAATGCACAAAACAATTTTTTATGTTTAATGGACCACCGTGGTTTTATTTATACTATATCATAGATTAGTATCTCTAAGAGGTAAGAACATAGGTTATTATCTCTAAGAGGTAAGAAAATTTCTAAGTATGCTACTTACATAGATTTGTTGGAAGCATGACTGTAGAAAAACATCCTGTGTTGTGTTCAGTTCAGTCACTCAGTCATGTCTGACTCTTTGTGACCCCATGAATCGCAGCACTCCAGGCCTCCCTGTCCATCACTAACTCCTGGAGTTTACTCAAACTCATGTCCATCGAGTTGGTGATGCCATCCAGCCATCTCATCCTCTGTTGTCCCCTTCTCCTCCTGCCCCCAATCCTTCCCAGCATCAGGGTCTTTTCCAGTGAGTCAACTCTTTGCATGAGGTGGCCAAAGTACTGGAGTTTCAGCTTCAGCATCAGTCCTTCCAATGAACACCCAGGACTGATCTCCTTTAGGATGGACTGGTTGGATCTCCTTGCTGTCCAAGGGACTCTCAAGAGTCTTCTCCAACACCACAGTTCAAAAGCATCAATTCTTCGGCCCTCAGCTTTCTTCACCGTCCAACTCTTACATCCATTCATGACTACTGGAAAAACCATAGCCTTGACTAGATCGACGTTTGTTGGCAAAGTGATGTCTCTGCTTTTAAATATGCTATCCAGGTTGTTGTGTTAGGCTTTAAGAAAACTGGATTTATAAAAATTCAGACTCAAATTAGATATTTACTTGTACACAAAAGTGTTCTTAAAGCTTCATATATGAGAAATGAAAAGTAATTTCCTATAAAAATTTTAATTTGCATGTTTAAATTACATAATTTCTCTTATGAAAGAAGAAAAATGCTTAGAGTGACTGGAGCAGGCATTCCAGAAGTGCATTTACATTTTACAATTAAATTCATCCCCTCTTTCCTTTTCTTTGTAGTTTTTTTTGTTTTGTTCTTTAGTGTGTGTGGGTGTATTTTTTTTTTCCAATGATAGTTACCTAAGTTATAGTCTCTTACCCCTGTGTTTCTGCTACTGTTTGGATTGCTATCTTTCTGTTAGTCACATTCACGTAGAATATTTTGTAATACATTGATACTATATTTGAATAATCTTTTCTACTTTTATTTTTTATTTTTTTTCTACTTTTATTTTTTAGACAATTTTATTTTTGAATAGGTAATGCATTCGTATAATCCAAAATGTACGAAAGAATGTATAGTAATGTTTCCTTCCCACCCATAGCATACAGCTACTCATTCTCTTCCCCATAGACAACAACCTTTGTAAATAGTTTCAGAGATGTTTTATGCACGTACAAGCAAATACAAATAAACGTTTTTAACACTGACAGTAATATACACACCACTGTGTTCTCTGCTTCTTTACACTTCATGTGTGTTTTTGAGATCTTTCCATGTCACTGTATATTAAGAGCTTCGTCATTTGTTTTCAACCCTGCTTCTGTAAATGAAACAGACCCTTTTAGCCAGCCCTCTACTCTCTTTTCCAATTTTGTGTTCTTTTCCTGTTACAAATAATTCTGCCATAAATAACTGTGTGTGTGCATCATTTCATGAGTGTGTGCCATTAATCTAGAGAACAAATTTGTAGACGTGCATTTCTAGGTTAAGAGGTTATGTGTATTTGTAATTGCCAAATTACCCTCCTTAGGGGTTGTACTAATATTCTTTTCTACCAGTGTTGTGTCAAAGTTCTGGTTTTCCCACACCCTCACCAACAGCCCATTTACTTTCTAAATAACTACAATTCCCTACCCTCCGCCATGCACTTCCATACTTTGAAAACTTTATTACTACAGGAAATAACGTCGTAAAAGTGGACAGTTTTGCTTTGGCATTGTGCCTGTGCAAAACAAAATTCTAGTTAAGATTTTTCATTTTTAAAAAACATATATTCCTGCTTTAGGTCTCTAAGATTGGGATGATAAAATTTAGGAGTTTTTCAGAGAAGAAGAAAAATCTTTTTTATTCTGTATGTGAGGGTCTACTTTAAGATTATTTCAAATGTTAAATGTTAAGTATGTCAATACAAGAATAAGTTAAGGATGTTCAATTAAAGTTCTATCTGTAAAAATACAGACATACTATTCTTAGTTGCTTAATTATCAGTATCACAAGGAACAAAAATAAAATGGTGAAAAAATTAAATGTTACCAGACATCTTTTTCATTTGTATTTAATACTTTTGTTGAATAGTAATACTAGAATGCCTTCGATATGTTTTTAAGCCTGGAAGAAAGTAGGTTCCTTTGAAATTAGATTTCAGCAATGTGGTTGAGTAGTGAATTTAAACAATTCACAATGCTGACTTTCAGTGCTTCTGAAAGCAGGAAGTGTATTACTGACATGCAGAAATATTCCAGCCCAAAGAACATCCCTACTGCCATATGTGGTAAGAATTTCTCACTAACTCACAAACCACTTCTGTAATGCACTGAATAAGCAGAATTGGTCTTTGTTGAACATTTCCAATTGAGTATCAAAGAACTTTGTTTTGCAGTGTCTTATAAGTAATTATTAGCTTATGCCTTGGAAGGAGCCTGGCACATCATGGGTGCTCAAGGTTTACTGAGAGAAGAAATAAGAACTTTTATATAATCTTTTAGGTGTGATTTTAAAGTTTGTTTTTTGGATCCTGAGTTAAATATTCTGACTCAGCTTAAAAATGGTTTCTTTAAATAAAATTATTTATATCTGGTGCCGTGTTGTGCTCAGTTGCTCAGTCATGTGCAACTGTTTGTGACCCCATGACTGTAACCTGCCAGGCTCCTCTGCCCATGGAACTTTCCGGGCAAGAATACTGGACCAGTTTCCATTTCCTACTCCAGGGGAACTTCCTCACCCAGAGATCAAACCCAGTCTCTTCAGTCGTGCATTGTTAGGTGGACTCTTTACCACTTTTATTCTACTGCCACTTTTATTCTACTGTCCCCCTTTTAAAATTACTAGTTGGAATATTCTTAGGTTTGCTCTTATGCTAAGAAAAAAAAAATCTTAGGGTTAATTATTAAGGGCTTAATTATTAAGAGCTAGGGAGATTACCGTGAACTTAGAAAAACAAGAAAATGAGTTGTGAGAAATTGGGGTTAGCAAAATTCAATGAAGAGCTATATATCATTCAAATTTTCATTAACATTTTGAAATATTAATGTTTTTCTAAATTTGAATCTTCTTTTCTTTTGATTTTAAGCGACTAAGAAGATTGTCAACCAAATATAGAACAGAAAAGATTTATCCCACAGCCACTGGAGAAAAAGAAGAAAATGTTAAAAAGAACAGATATAAGGACATACTGCCATGTAAGTTTAAAATGCCATTAATGGAACAAATGGATATGCTAATTAGTAGTTTTATAGCTTAAACTAGCTTTATTCTTCCTAATGAGTTTATTTGTTAAGAAAATAATGATGAGCTTCTCTTTCAAGGTACACTACAAGATAATAATTTGTGGTTGTGCTTGCCTTTCTTTATGATAGTGTATTTTGCTGTTGTTTTATTGTTCATTTTTTTCCCCTTTAAGCATCACAATTACTCTGATACTGCCCCACTTTTAAATCTGAAAAATCCAAGTAAAAATATCTTTTGTGGACTCCCTGTTCAGAGAAATTTTTTTGTAAAAAATAAAATAATACAGACATAATTCAATAATACATTTTATAAAATGCTAAAAATATTAACTCATCTATTATCTATTCATAAGAACTATAATTGATTAATGGAGCACTAATAATGAACCATGAAAAAAAAATGAACCATGATTCATGCTTGTGTGTCTGCTTGTTCTTAGTAGTCTAAGAACATGGTATGTATCTCTGAGGTTATGCCTAAGGCTGCCTAAGCATTATAATCTATCAGAGTACCTTTAACTGTAAAAGTTAAAAATTTATATCATACCTGCTGCCTTTTAAAGCTGCCAATAGTCTTTCTCTTTTCCTTCCTTCAAGTATCTAGAAATGTATACATTCCATGATACCATTCTCTCAACTCTCCTTTCATCCTTTTTTTTTCTAGCTTTATTGAAGTATAATTGACAAAATCTCATTCATTCCTAAAGCTTCTTCTTTCTAAAATGTCCTTGGTAAATTTTCCAGTGACTTTAATTATCGTATTTGATAGACTTTTATTATTATTGTTGTTGTTGTTGTTTAGTGCTTATTCTTTTCTGTTAACTATTTTGATGTTGTTGACCAGTCTTTATTTTTTAAATTTCCTTCTTCTATAATATCCCTTTTTCAAATTGCCACCTCCCTCACTTGTCTTCTTCCCTCTTTCTTACTGTCCTCTTTGCATAAATTTCATCCTTCATCCTTCTTGTTATTCAGCTTTACTCTCAGATATGGGATCTGCGGGTGGCTGGTAGTAGCACAGTTATTACAAGCTGGCAGCGGAGCATAATGAAGAGTTCTGACTGGAGGTTCAAGTCCTGCTTCTGTCACCTGTTATCTGTGTGATTTTGGATTCATGCTTTCTGTGCTTAAGTTTCTTCATCTTCAAAATGGAGATTAAAATAATAATTACCTTATAAGACTACTTTGTGCAGGTACAATGCCTACATTTGTCCCGAGCACATAGTAACCACTCATTAAGCTTTTGGAAAATATAATTCACTTTTCTTACCAATCCACTTAAGAGTAGTGAATAGTATGGGTTTCTTAATAGTTCTTTTAAATTAAGCAATATGATTTTGAGGTACTCTTATTATGCTCTGGAATTAATGTTCAGTTCAGTCGTGTCTGACTCTTTGTGACCCCATGGACCACAGCACGCCAGGCCTCCCTGTCCATCACCAACTCCCGGAGTTGACCCAAACTCATGTCCGAGTCAGTGATGCCATCCAACCATCTCATCCTCTGTCATCTATTTCTCCTCCCTCCTTCAATCTTTCTCACTATCAGGGTCTTTTCAAATGAGTCAGCTCTTCACATCAGGTAGCCAAAGTATTGGAGTTTCAGCTTCAACATCAGTCCTTCCAATGAACACTCAGGACTGATCTCCTTTAGGAAGGACTGGTTAGATCTCCTTGAAGTCCAAGGGACTCTCAAGAGTCTTCTCCAACACCACAGTTCAAAAGCATCAATTCTTCAGCACTCAGCTTTCTTTATAGTCCAACTCTCACATCCATACGTGACCACTGGAAAAACCATAGCCTTGACTAGACAGACCTTTGTTGGCAAAGTAATGTCTCTGCCTTTTAACATGCTGTCTTGGCTGGTCATAACTTTTCTTCCAAGGAGCAACTGTCTTTTAATTTCATGGCTGTAGTCACTGTCGGCAGTGATTTTGGAGCCCCCCCAAAAAGTCAGCCACTGTTTCCACTGTTACCCCATCTATTTGCCATGTAGTGATGGGACCAGTTGCTATAGATTTCTGAATGTTGAGCTTTAAGCTAATGTTTTCACTCTCCTCTTTTACTTTCATCAAGAGGCTCTTTAGTTCTTCTTCACTTTCTGCGATAAGGGTGGTGTCATCTGTATATCTGCTGCTGCTGCTAAGTCACTTCAGTTGTGTCCGACTCGGTGCGAACCCATAGACGGCAGCCCACCAGGCTCCTCTGTCCCTGGGATTCTCCAGGCAAGAATACTGGAGTGGGTTGCCATTTCCTTCTCCATCTGCATATCTGAGATTATTGATATTTCTCCCGGCAATCATGATTCCAGCTTGTGCTTCCTCCAGCCCAGCATTTCTCATGATGTACTCTGCATATAAGTTAAATAAGCAGGGTGACAATATACAGCCTTGACGTACTCCTTTTCCTATTAGGAACCAGTCTATTGTTCCATGGCCAGTTCGAACTGTTGCTTCCTGACCTGTGTACAGATTTCTCAAGAGGCAGGTCAGGTGGTCTGGTATTCCCATCTGTTTCAGAGTTTCCTACAGTTTATTGTTATCCACGCAGTCAAAGGGTTTGGCATAGTCAATAAAGCTGAAATAGATGTTTTTCTGGAACTCTCTTGCTTTTTCGATGACCCAGCGGATATTGGCAATTTGAACTCTAGTTCCTCTGCCTTTTCTAAATCCAGATTGAACATCTGGAAGTTCCCGGTGTACGTATTGCTGAAGCCTGGCTTGGAGAATTTTGAGCATTACTTTACTAACGTGTAAGATGAGTTCAATTGTGCAGTAGTTTGAGCATTCTTTGGCATTGCCTTTCTTTGGGATTGGAATGAAAACTGACCTTTACCAGTGCTGTGGCCACTGCTGAGTTTTCCAAATATGCTGGCGTATTGAGTGCAGCATTTTCATAGCATCATCTTTTAGGATTTGAAATAGCTCAACTGGAGTATCACCTCTACTAGCTTTGTTCGTAGTGATGCTTCCCATGGCCCACTTGACTTCACATTCCAGGATGTCTGGCTCTAGGTGAGTGATCACAGTATCTTTATTATCTGGGTCCTGAAGACCTTTTTTGTACAGTTCTTCTGTGTATTCTTGCCACCTCTTCTTAATATCTTCTTCTTCTGTTAGGTCCCTTCATTTCTGTCCTTTATTGAGCCCATCTTTGCCTGAAATGTTCCCTTGGTATCTCTAATTTTCTGACAGAGATCTCTAACCTTTCCCATTCTATTGTTTTCCTTGATTTCTTTGCATTAATCACTGAGGAAGGCTTTCTTATCTCTCCTTGCTATTCTTTGGAACTCTGCATTCAAATGGGTAGGTTTCCTTTTCTCCTTTGCTTTTGACTTCTCATCTTTTCACAGCTATTTCTAAGGCTTCCTCAGACAGCCATTTTCATTTTTGCATTTCTTTTTCTTGGGGATGGTCTTGATCCCTGTCTCCTGTACAATGTCATGAACCTCCATCCATAGTTCATCAGGCACTCTATCAGATCTAGTCCCTTAAATCTATTTCTCACTTCCACTGTATAATCATAAGGGATTTGATTTAGGTCATACCTGAATGATCTAATGGTTTTCCCTAACTTTCTTCAATTTTAGTCTAAATTTGCCAATGAGGAGTTCCTAATCTGAGCCACAGTCAGCTCCCGGTGTTGTTTTTGCTGACTGTATAGAGCTTCTCCATCTTTGGCTGCAAGAAATATAATCAGTCTGATTTCGGTGTTGGCCATCTGGTGATGTCCACATGTAGAGTCTTCTCTTGTGTTGTTGGAAGAGGGAGTTTGCTATGATAAGTGCATTCTCTTGGCAAAATGCTATTAGCCTTTGCCCTGCTTCATTCTGTACTCCAAGGCCAAATTTGCTTGTTATTGCAGGTATTTCTTGACTTCCTACTTTTGCATTCCAGTCCCCTATAATGAAAAGGACATCTTTTTTGGGTGTTAGTTCTAGAAGGTCCTATAGGTCTTCATAGAACTGTTCAACTTCAGCTTCTTCAGCATTACTGGTTGGGGCATAGACTTGGATTACCGTGATATTGAATGGTTTGCCTTGGAAATAAACAGAGATCATTCTGTCATTGTTGAGATTGCATCCAAGTACTGTATTTCGTACCCTTTTCTTGAGTATGAGGGCTACTCCATTTCTTTTAAGGGATTCCTGCCCACAGTAGTAGATATAATGGTCATCTGAGTTAAATTCACCCATTCCAGTCCATTTTAGTTCGCTGATTCCTAAAATGTCAACCTTCATTCTTTCCATCTCCTGTGACTACTTCCAATTTGTGTTGATTCATGGACCTAACATTCCAGGTTCCTATGCAATATTGCTCTTTACAGCATCGGACTTTGCTTCTCTAACTAGTCATATCCACAACTGGGTTGTTTTTGCTTTTGAATGAAGAGACGGAATTAATGTGCACACTCTTAAAGAAACAGTGTTTCCACCTTCTTTTTCTACCATCTGAGGAAATGAATCTCAAACAGCTTCAGGTTTCTGTTTTCATATGTTGTATCATTCATTCATTTTACAAGAAGCTTTGAACATATACAGTGCGCTGCACATAACAGCAGAAAACAAACTGACCAAATACCCTGCCCTTGTAGAGCTTATGGTGTAGGCAAGGTGATGAACAATTCAAATGACATGTGTGGTCTCTCATAGTGGTTAGTGCTGTTGAGAATAATGTAGTAGGAGTTACATAGAGAAAACTGAGGATAGGAGGAAGCTTTATTCATTTTAACTAGAGATGGAGGGGGACGTTCAGTGCTGTTACACTGGCCCTCTGAAAAATAAAAGCCTTGCTTTGTATTGTTTGCCAGTTTCTTTAGGAAATGGATTATTTGCCATAATCATCAAAACAAAACTGAGGGAGGTACTATTGTATGCCATTTTGCAGATAAAAAAGTGAGACAAAGGTTAAATAGCTTTAGTTCAGTTCAGTTCAGTCGCTTAGTCGTTTCTGA